GGGTTGTCACAGCATAAAACCTCCACATGTATTTAATGATTTACGTCATGCGTAGGAAGACCTCCTACACCCTGCGTAGAGTGACCAAAACACAAAAAAACATTGATATTAGTTAAAAGTTATACTTGCGGAAATAGGCGTTACAATTTCTGAACCTCAGAATGTTTACACGATCAAATTTATGGGGAAAATTCGATTGAGGTTTTCCTTTTTTTCTTTAAACTTCAAAATATGGTAAACAATCCTCGAAGACTTCACACGATCGAATTTTCTAAGAAAGCACGATCGAATATGTGGTTTTTCGCACGAAACGTTCTTTTTTCCTTGTCCAAAACAACTTCCAATCGTTCCTCAGCATCCTTCATAAGTTTCCAGCTCCAATTTATCTCTAATGCTCCATTAAACGCATCCAGAGCTGCTCCCAAAGTACTACTCTACTCAGATTATCTGAAAATGACATCAAAACATGAGCAGTACGAGAATTCTGACGAAAGACATGAGTTTCACATTATTTAAACAAATTCACATGAAATAACATAAAATATGATGCAAAATGCTAATAAAAATTATCCTAAAAGATGCATAAAATGACATCTATCACTCATCGGTAAAGGCGTTGGCATTAATTGTATTAATCCTAAAATTAAACCCATAATAGTAGCTTACACCATCTAACACCTTTCACCCTAGGTAGGAGGATGTCCCACACAACCATTTCAGCTAATCTTTCCGCCAAAGGTCAACGTCGTAATGTTTTCTTTAAATATCACAAGACAAGGATCACAATCTTGTTCATGACACTTTTTCCTCCAAAGACTACAAATATATGTATGTATTTTTTCGCTTTTGTTGTTTTCTATTTCTTCGATTGTTTAATTCTTTGTTCTTTATTATTTATGTTGTTTATTCCAAGTTGAGAATTACTAGTTTTCTCGCTATGGTTCGTGTTTCAATAGATTTTTACAGTACCAACATTATCTCTTCTCCAAGGTCGACCCAGGCGTAGGGCAACTTGAGACACGGTTAAGCGGAATCATATAACTTGGGTGCAACAATTTTGGATTACATATTATGTACTATTTTTAATGGTATCTAAATTTGATCCAGATGACAGTTTGGGAGCAACCAAGGTTGTAAAAAATGTTCGACGTTAGCTAGTCGATGGATTGGGGTTAAAGGATTAATCGGTTAGGCGAGGATTAATCGGAGGATTAATCGGGGACCATTAATTGCTAACTCGTTAAATTTTCAAAAATTAAATATGACTAAGATTATAACAAAGTTCATAAATACCACTAATATCTTAATAAAATAGGTTAATACTATTAATACAACATTAATCATTTCTCAAATGGTTTCTATTGAGATAGAACTTCTTCAAAGTGTTAAAATTTCATCGTTTTCTACTATTTCAGTAACTTTGTAGGGATGGATTAATCGTTAGGCGCCCTCTAATCGGTGAGGTAGCGCCTAGGGATTAATCGAAGATTAATCAGTGGCTAATCGGGATTTTTACAACACTGGGAGCAACCAAAAAGTAATTGTAACATCCTTAAAATCAACATAGAAACCTTTTTCCTTTTTTAGTGAAAAGTAAAAACTTTGGGAAAATAAAATAAATAACTAAAAGTTAAAAAAATAGAATAGCATAAATAATAAATATTGATAGTTTTAAAACATATAGGAAGACTATTTAATAAGAGTAAGTACTTTCATCTAAAAAATAGAAAAATTAAGATGAAGGATTAGCGAAGCACCGAATATGGAAGTTAAAAGGATCAAGACACACTTAAACAAGTTGAATTTCCTATCCCACTCAAGTATCAAATTGGGAAGCGTTGTAACAAGATATATTCATAATTGTCAAAGACTAACGAGAATGTCAAGGGTTTAAGTGTCAGAGGATGGCAAAGACAACATTTCTGGAAGACACATGATAGTTCTAGAACATATTAGAAGACAATGAAATGATTAAGAACATAATGGAAGACTGTTCTAGAACATATTAGAAGAATCTTGAAGGTTCTAGAATATGCATGAATACCCTAGAAGATTACAAAAGACAATCAAACATCTCTAGAACATCAAAATTAGTTTACAACATTATAGGGTCTTGTAAATATATCTAAATCATAGTATAAAGATCTAGATTAGTTTAGAACATCATGGATCTAGAACCTTCCCATGAGGAGGTGGAAGATCCCTATAAATAGGGTTAGATCCATTTCTATGAAACCATCGATAGGTGTCTTATAACTTTGAAAGTTCGAAGTAATATATACACTCGTTTATTGTTTCGGTAAGAGTCGATTTTCCTTGCTACGTTAAAATTGTTGTTTTGATTTTCCTTGGAGAGATGTTACCATATACGAGTGTTTTAGTTCTTGTATCTATCTTACTTTTTTAATCTCATTGTTAAGACTGAGAACATTATATGTTAATATCATATCATTATGGAGTTCCTAACTCCAAGCATATATACCACCAAGAAACACTAAAATGTTATATTTTAACACCAAATATTTGTTCAACTCCAACTATACACAAAAAACACTAAATTAAAACATACACACAATATATATATATATATATATATATATATATATATATATATATATATATATATATATATTACTAATAATAACATTATATTTTTTAACAATTTTGTTTTCACTGATTTTTAATGAAATATGCTTGTTGTGACATGTACTTACTTACTTTTTAATATCCATTATACATAGGTTATGAAATCTTATTAAAATAAATATTATAAGCTTACAAAAAAAATACAATTTTAAATATTATATATAATATTGGACTCATTTTAAAGCTCTCAATATAGTATTCGATAATTCTTTACTTTTTAGAAATTAATATTTGACATTTATACTAACTCTGTAACAATTTATACACAATAAATATTTATTTGGTGTGAATAGTAACACACTATTTTGGTTTGTTACTATACAAAATCACAACAATGGTGCATAGTTTGGATGCTGGAGTTTATTTTTACAGCAAAGTATTCATTGTTTTGAGAGGCCCCTTAGACATGATCATGTTATATAAATTTGTTTAAGGTATTAATCTGTTAATGTGTCAAGTAAATGTAAATGTGATCAAGGTTTGGTATTAAGGTGATTATTCTATATATAAGAAAATTGTTAATATGAAACCGATTTTGACAATTTCCAACTGATTATTTTTGCAGTTTGTTGGATACAATGGATGCTAGCAATTTTTGGGATACAATGGATACCGATGAACTTACTAGAGACCAGATTGTTTTGTGAGTCATTAGAATTTGTATATTAGTTACTTGTTATCTTGTTTTATTAGTCATTTAAATAAGCATATCAATTACTTGTTATATATGAGTGCGATTTGTAATTTTCTTTTTTATTTTCAGGTTAACAAGGTACCTTCTTGATTTCTTTAGGATTAAATCGTGCTATCGTCTAGCGGCTGACAATTTTGTTAAGGAAGCAAAAATTGATGAAACAGAAGGTACATAAATCATTTAATATTTTCTTGTTAATTTTGTTTCTATTTGACACGTGGATGTGATTTGGGATCTTGATTAATCTTTTTAATTTTGTTTCTATTTTATGATTCCTTTTTAATAGAGCTTGAAGGAACGTACATGGAGTATTCTTCAACCGAACCTAATATGGATTTTTGGAAAAACAAGCCGCTTATGGATTTATGGACCTCTTTTTGTTGTGAAAAGCTAAACTTGAACACGGTCTCTAGCCCACAGAGTGAGGCATTTCGGAAGTAAGTTATATTTGAATCTTCAAAATGATTTTGAATTTTATTACTATAAGTCTATAACAATATTATTAGTTATGTGCTTTTGGTTTTGATAGGATTATGTATGTAATTAAGTGTTATGTGCTTTCGATTTTTACAGGATCTTGGATTACATTTCTTGTTACTTTGAGAAAAATAAAGACGACTGGTTATTTTGACTAAAAAGTTAAAGGTATATATATCTTAGACACATGGCATTGACTTTCATGTAGCCTTTTTCTTTATTTATGGTGAAATGATTTGGATAATAGTTTTTTGATTGTATTTTCTTGTTTTATTATTTCATTTTGTTCCTAAATAATGAAGAATTTGCAATTTTTGTTCCATCAGGAATTACGTGATCTGGCTTCGACTGTGAATAAGTAAGTGCAATATTTTTTAATCTTGAGTTAGGAAATATTAGTAGAAATTTGAAGTATGTATTTTTCATTTTCAGGTGGATCCAAAAATCACAAAAAGCAGTAGTAAAAAATGTCTATGTTTTAGGAAAATATTAGAGTTTAATTTCATGTTATTGTTGTTAATTGCTGAATTCTTCTTTAAGTCTGTTGTGGGTTTTCGATCAAACTTTGTGATTGTTAAAACTATTAACTTAAACCTTTAATTAACTAGTTGTTATTATCTTTGTAAAATGTTGTATATAGCCTTTTTACTGATTATGTTATTTTTTAAGCACAAGTAATATTTATAAACAGAAAAAATACTTCATTCTTTTTAATAAAACACAAATTAATTAACTCTCATATTTCGGCTTCACCATGTTGTACAACATTTAATGGATGCTAATTTTTCATAACATTGTTTTACCTGATTTCTTTTGAATTTCTAATAGAATAAAGAAAGGTAGATTATATTAGTTAGTTTGGTTAACGAATCTTGTTATGACTTTTTTCAACTACTTATTATATCTTCCTCAACATATTCAAGTGTTTAGTGTAAACAAAAGTATTGTACCTTTTAGACTTTTTTTTTTTAACATGGTGAAAATAATTGGTTACTAAAGTATAAACCATTCAAATAGTGCTCATCAATTTATCATTAATAGAGATACATATAATTTGTTATACTATTATATAAGTTATACAAATAATTTGTTTTGTTAATTAAACTTTGAGATAATATAATTTACAAGTTATTGTAACAAATAACATCCAACACAAATTTGTAAAAATTTAATTAATAGGAGTGTTTTTATAATCTATATAAGCCCCAAGTTATATATGTAAAACAACATCAAACATGTCATTGTTATTCAAATATTTCATTGTTCACATATACACATAACACAAACACCAGTCACAAGAAACATAAAGCCTCCCACATGACAATATTATATAGCTAGCTAAGACATCAACATAATAGAATATCCTCCTGCAAATTCCATTCAAGAAAGTGATCATTTATTAAAATTAGAATGAATTAAGTATTGAAGAATAAAAAATATGGAGTAAATAAAGTTTAATTTTTTAAGAAACTTACAATATGGAACCATGTTCCACCTTTGATTATCGCCTTTTTTCCATTCCCACAAAACAATTTTTGTCCCATCATGAACACCACCATGGTTTGCATCGCCATTAAAGGCATCTACATTGAGCTTAATATTGTTCACCATTCTTACAGTTCTATATCCATCACCTAAGTCCTTGCTTTCAGTCCAAAGAACCGATTCATCAAGTCTATTAGGGTTGTACTCAATCAGTTGAACCTGTTCAAGAACAATAAAGTTTATAATCAATAAGCAAATAGTCAACTTATGACATAAACAACTCAAGTTATAGATCAAGTGATGAACTATTGATTATTGATAGAAGTAGAAGAGCATACCGGATGAGTTGCACCAATGGAGTGTTTCATGGCTTGATCAGTGGCTTTGTTGATCAAGGCAAAAGCGGGATAACCCTGTTCATCTTTCACCCTTGTGCTATACTTCAGATCTTTAACCCAATGCTGTTTGAAATTCAAACAAAAGAGTCAAACAGATTGGAGCAAAAATTGGGACAAGAACTAATCAAGTTTGTAATTTCAGAAACTGAAAACGAAGAATTGAAGTTACCTGATGAGGATCGGAGGGGTTAGATGGTGCTAGAATCACTTTACCCTCACGGATCGTGAGTGAGAAATCGGGTCTCGCCTTGGTGTAAACCCTAACTGTGGGTTTATTGTCAGTGTATTTTTCGGGGATTTTATGGTGGTCGGTATGGTGGTGATTGATGATCGGAGGCATGTGGGGGGTATGGTGAGTGTTCTCGTGATAGACATGGTGGATGGGTTGCGGTGGTGGTGGTGGGTGGTGGTATTCTGCCGTGTACGGAGGAGGGACATGAGGAGGGTAGACATCAACACGGTTTGGAGGTGGTGGGTAAGCAAGATGAGGTGGAGGAGGGTAGTGAGGTGGTGGTCCACCGCCGAAGTGTGGTGGAGGTAGGTACGGTGGTTCGTCGTCACGGCGGTGGTGGTGGTGGTTGTGACCGTATGGATCCATTACTTGAAAACAAAGCTAAACTGAAGTTCCTCCGCAGGCAACGCCCAGACTTACATAGGGGAGATGAGAATATGCTACTTGTACACTATGCTATAGAAGTTGTACATTACTTTGAATTTTACTAGTTGTTGGAATATGTTCTCAACTAAATACCCACCTCGACAATTACGATTATACCCTTAATGTTAACGTGTACACCATGTTGTAAGAATAATAAAAAATATATTTATAAGGTTAACATAGTAAATTTATGTTGGTATAAATATTTTGGGAAAATAACGTGTCGTACTTGAATTTTTGGTAGATTAGCTAACAAGTAAAGACCATCTATTATTAAATGATACATGTATTTGGTATGCTAGTTTTGTATTTTTTTATTTGTGTAGTTTGTTAAAATTAACTATGTATTCTTAAAATATATAAAATTAAATAAAATTTAAAAGTTAGTAGTTCTTAAAAGTTATATTAAAAACTTTTAATTAAAATAAATATTTTTAAGCTCGTGAAATCATAGTTCCAAACAAAACTTTATTTTGATTCAAAGTGTTGTTAAAAGTTCACGACTGTTAGAAAGCTTTGTTTTGGAATATGCCTTAAATCACTATATTTTATCTTTATCTGATCCCATTGTAATTTGTAAACAAGTTAGAGTAGCGTTTGGTTAAAGATCACAATAATACGTTTTGATATTCGACCATATGAGTCGATATTAAGATGTTATATCGTGTGTTTTTTATGTTGAGCATTAGATTCGAGTTTTTATGACTTGACTAGTATGGTTCATAATCATTTAGTTATCATTTCGGGGTGATAGACATGAAAACAACGAAACGAAGAAATCTTGATTTTTTAACTTGTCCCTTGATTTACTGGATGGGAAAATAACTTATTAGGTAATCATCTTTATCGTTTTGTTCACATTTAGGTAACTTCTTTATTTTTGTACATATTTAACCATTTAACTTGTTATATGTGTTCACATATTGTCATTGTCACCTGTTAGGTGACAATGACAATATGTGAACACATATAACAAGTTAAATGGTCAAACGTGTAAAAAAAATAAACTTACCTAAACATGAACAAGACGAAAAGGTAATTACTCTTGCAAGTCATTTTCCTTTTATTGGATAAATACTTATGAATTTGAATTAAAGATAATTACACATAAAACCCTCAATTCTTTTTAGTTTTGGTTAGACTTGACAATTTGTGTATTCGTATCATGAAAACGTGTTAACCACGAATTTGACACGATACGATTACACGATGAGAAATAAGCTTTATCTCAATTTTCAAGATCTATTTGTGTCGTATCATGTCTCTCACAGATTCGTGTATCCGTGTCTTGAATTGTCAGCTCTAGTTTTGGTTAATTCATCATCTCATGATAAATTAACAAACTAGTCCTTATAATCTTTATTTTTCATCTTAAGTTTAAATCATATCTTGTTTGTAACAAAAAAAGACACTGCTATTTAAAAAATATCACTAATTTGTTGTGACCATGAACATATTTCCAACATTTACAATATATAACATTAAAGTTATGTTTGGCGCACTAGCTGAAAGGCTAGCTGTTAGTTGAAAAATTAGTTGATAGCTAAAAAACTAGTTGTTAAATAAAAAGTTAGCTGATAGCTGAAAAGGTAACTGATACAAAATGTCGTTTGGTAAAACTGACTGAAAAGTTAGCTGAAAAATATAAAATACATAAAAAGACATTTAAAAGAATGTGTTTCTATAATTAATTAAGGGATATATTTGAAATTTTTTAAAAAGCTCCTAAAAAGCTATTATAAGTACTTTTATAAAAAGTTAACTTATAAGCTACTTTTGGCTTGCCAAACATGACAAATTAAAAAAAGCTCAAAAAATAAGCTACCTTATAAGTTAGCTGCGGTGCTCCAAACACGGGCTAAATCATCAAAACCTACAATTGTTCATGGTTAGTTCTAATATAGATGCTAGAAAGAAAACGCCTTTAACCTGTTTCTGAAATCGAATCATGACTTGAGGCTTTGAAATCGAAAAACAATCCAAGAAATTGATGCTTCAATTGTTTAATTGTGGTCACAAGTATATCCGACTCTCTACTGGTTGAACTTTCCCACACAACCTATACATCACACTTAACGTTGTCTTAACCTTTTTCACCTATATGCAAGGCGGCCCATATGAGAAGCAGTTCAGCAGCCTAATTTTTTTAGCCTTCTATAACGTCGTGATGTTTACCTTAAACATTTTCATTTAATTTAAAAGAAAAGGCAACTGGAGTCTTTTATTATTTCAAACTTAAAAACTAACCAGCACATTATCATCTTTCAAAAACAACCCAATTAAAACCATTTGAGTTTAAGGAAAGCAAAATGGAACAAAAGTAACAACCAAAACATGTCCAAGTGGTATCGCCTAAGAAAAAACATACTACCCAAAAATAAGTGTCCCCAAACTCACAAATACACGCTCCTAAGCTACATGTACTAACCCACAGGCACAAAATACAAGAAACAAGTGTTAGCTCATGTTGAGTGAGTTAACAAAAGTTTCATACAGTCAAAGGGAAACGTAGAATTTCAAAACATGTCAACAATTCAATTTACAACAAAACATACAATGCAACAATTATCACATACATATTTTTTTTCCATATGTTATCACCAAGAGCATAATTCACCACATATCACCAAATTCATCTTTTATTTAATAAATCACTAGATATCACCAAATTCATCATTTATTAGACAGTTCACCACACATCGCCAAATACCAATATGATGAAATATAATTCATCAATTATCACCAAATATAATTCACCAAGTAACACTAAATATAATTCACCCAATATCATTAAAGGCACCTTATGATAAGCATGAGTCTCTTAGTGCTTCCTAACCTAGGAGAACTATCTGGTTCACTACTTGTGTGCCCGCACTGATAAATGCTCTAAGTGGCACATGAATTTTCACCCGAAACACCAACCCCGAGACTTATGTGAATTAAGAGCATTTGATTTGGCATGCAGAATTGAAGAACACAAAGAACACAGTGATTTGGGTGTCTAAGAGATGTATTCGATCATGAAAGGTGTTACAAAAAAGTATAAGCTAGATCTAGACAAATAAATACCTCACACTAACACTCTCAATGTTACATCTCTCAAGCACACATCTACAAGTGGTATGCAACCCACTATATATAGAGGTGTTTACATCTCTCTCTCTCTCTCTCTCTCTCTCTCTCTCTTTCTCTCTTTTTCTATCTCTCATGTCATAAGGCATCACTACCACATGCAAGTGGGTCTACAAGAGTCAAACCAGTCATTCATGTATAACTTTGCACCCCAACATTCTCCCCCTCAAAGTTAGGAATGGATGACCCACTTCAATCTTCTAAAATCAAGCAACTTCACGAACCAAGCCTCAAGCGTGACACATGTAAAATGAACTTCAAATCTTCAATTCTTCAATGACCTTCCAATACGGGTTCTAGAGTGTGAGACCGTACAAACCGAGCATCAAAAGGAAATTAGGAGTATCCAAACCTCCACAAAATTACCGAAATTTGAGCATAAAAGCACACCCCAAAAATCTTCAATAAGTCCAAACCCATCATGAACTAATAACTTCCGAATCTCAAATCAAATCACTTCATAAACTTCAATTGCTCAAGGTCATTTCAGTCTTCAAGTCCGCGTAATATGAAAAATTCAACTTTCGAATTCTCATATTTAATTCCCACCCCCCCCCCCCTTTTATAATCGAAAAATAATTATAAAAACAAAAAGGAATTAGAAAGCGCTCAATTTGGAAATTTATATACAAAACTCCCCCTTAACACATGACATAAACGTTTTGCATAAATCCAGAAAATCCAAAAAATATCTCAATTTTCGAATTCGTTCTCGAACCGCCTTTGATGAATTTTAAAAAATTTGGGTAGAAATTATCAATTTCAAAATTCTCTAGTGACCCGGTGCGCCCAAAACAATCTCAGATGCGAAACTTTACCCCAATTGCGAAATTGGGCATAAAGTGTTAATTCGTATTAACTGCAGGGACCTGTTTCGAAAATATTCCCATTTCTCATAATTTTCAGCCCAATGTGGAAACTAGGTAAAATTTGCCAACTTGCAAAAACAACAGGTGCTCAAAATGGAAATTCAGCTTTTAAAACAATTTTGTGACTCCATGTCGAAGGTGGGTTAGTATTGCCAATTCGTTGATAGCTGATGGCTTCGAATCGACACTTTCTGTTTCTTCTTCACTGCATTCGTTATCAAGTTACGGTCAAGGACGTTCGACCATAGCAAGTCGATACCCATAACGAAGGTATCTTCGACTTCTAAACACTCAATTTTGAGATCTTCCCAATCGATATCCTAATCAATGACCTTTGATCTCAAGCTACAACCTTCGTTGTCAAGCCATAACCTTAGTTATCGATGCAAACTATAAACCCATAGCGAAGGTACCAAATTTTGATCCATAGATGTCTAACTCGTCTATTTTCCATTCGACATCTAAATCAAAATCACCTTCGTTATCAATCCTTCCCAGTCGATCCTACACATCGAAATCCCATTCACAAATTAAACCATTCGACATCAACTACTCGTTATTAATACCTTCCCAATCGATCCTTCGTTCTCAGCCTTGCACGTTCGACATCAAAATAATCAACCCCAAATCGAAACTCCAAACCAAGACCCATAACACAACTTGTTCGATGAAAATGATTCCAAGAACCAATTTCGACTCCAACATTGATTTCTTAACCATGAACACAGACATTCGTTCTCAAGCCATATATAGTCAATGTCATTCGATACTAAAAACTGATTCCAAACCAAAATTGACCTCCGATGTCAAAATTTACTCCTTTCAACACCAAGTCTCCTTCATTTGACATCAACACTGACCTCAAACACATCCAATTTCCAAATCAACATTTACGATGTGAACATAAAAGTCATTCCATTGCTCGACATCTAGATCATAAATCCAACCAATTTTCGAAATTAAACCCCAAATCAAGCTTTATTTCGACATCTACAGCCCATGTCCAACTTATATCAACCAATTTCAACCTTCAATTCATAGATT